GCATTTTGGACCGGCTTCAAAAGCCTCTCGGCAGCCGGCAGGCCTCTTGCGGCCTCTCTGTGGCCTGTCCGAAGCCTGCCTCCTCTCTTCTTATGGGCTTCCGAAGGCAACGTTAGGCATTTTGGCTCGGCTTCAAACGCTCCCCAGAGCCTCACCGCAGCCTTGCCCTCTTCTCGGCAGCTGGTTGAATGCCAGCATTGGTGTGAAGCCCATCCAAGTCTCGCTGTTGAATCCCAGGAAGTTGTCAAGGTTCAACCGCCAAACCCTCGAGATGAAAAGGGGTCGGCGGCACCCGGGCGGAGCCCTTACAATCCGGGCGCCGGCCACGCGCACGTTCCCTTGCCGGAGGCCTTCGGTTGGTAACCGAAGGTTATATACGCTCGCGCCCCCTGCCGCCGACCCTTTTGTTGGACCTCGCGTATACCCCGTGTCGACCCCCGCCCGAATCCGGTCGACAGATTTTTATGTCACTTATATTTTATCCACCACCATGATTGTGCATGATGTGGAAAACATCGTTTTTTACAGTGTTTCGTGGCCTTCGGCGGAGACGACTTGCGCCTAACAGGGCGCCGGTGGTGTCGGTTATGCGTGCCGCGCGGACAGGCTTAATCGACATTTCGTTTGTGTTGGGCACAGAAGTTTCCTAACATATCCCTAACATAGGCCCAAGATAGCCAACATATCCCCAACATAGCCTCCAAGATGGCTCAACATAGGGCCAACATAGGCCAACATGGGGCCAACATACGCCAACATAGGCCTAACATAGGCCTAACATAGGCCGACACGGGCGGTCAGCCCCCTTCTTGCGAAGGATGCTGCCGGGACGCCCGAAGTCCCGGCCCCCGTCGTACACGAGGGTGGGAGAGCGATGCTCCCCACAACCTTATAGCAGGGATAGGGAAAGAGACAGACACAGATACCGACATACCGACACATTCCACGACGGAGACAGAGACGAAGACGAAGACAAACAGAGACGGGAGAGGGAGAGGAAGAGAGAAAGAGAGAGAGGGAGAGACAGCAAAAGATACCTAGATCGTTTATCGCGCCGCCTCCATTCTACGGTTTACGGACCCTAGTGGGCCGGCGCCCGGCTGTCAGGCGTAAGCCTCATAAATCCGGGCGCCGGCCACGGGCCCGTGTCCTTGCCGGAGGCCTTCGGTTGGTAACCGAAGGTTATATACGCTCGCCGCCCCTGCCGCCGACCCTTTTGTTGGACCGCGGGGATACCCCGTGTCGACCCCCGGTCGAATCCGGTCGACAGATTTTTATGACATTTAAATTTTATCTACCAGCATGATTGCGCATGATGTGGAAAACATCGTTTTTTACAGTGTTTCGTGGCCTTCGGCGGATAGGACTTTCGCCTAACAGGGCGCCGGTGGTGTCGGTTATGCGCGCCGCGCGGAAAGGCTTAATCGACATTTCGTGGGTGTTGGGCACATAAGTTGCCTAACATATCCCAAACATAGGCCCAAGATAGCCAACATATCCCCAACATATGCCCAACATAGCCTCCAAGATGGCTCAACATAGGGCCAACATAGGCCAACATGGGGCCAACATAGGCCCAACATAGGCCCAACCTAGGCCAACATAGGCCTAACATAGGCCAACCTAGGCCCAACATAGGCTCAACTTGGGCCCAAGATGTGCCCAACATAGACCACATGGGCGCAACTTGGCCCAACCTAGGGCCAAGATGCGCACCAGATAGCTTAACTTTGCTCAATATAGGCCCCACCAAGTCTCAAAGAGAGAGAGAGAGAGAGGGAGAGAGAGAGAGAGAGAGACAGAGAGACAGAGAGAGAGAGAGAGACAGACAGAGAGAGAGAGAGAGAGAGAGAGAGGGAGAGAGACAGACAGAGAGGAAAGAAAGTGAAACACAGAGACAAAAAAAAAGAGCCAGACACAGAGTGAGCTACCAATACGAAGACACGGACAGATACAGTCCGAAAAGGACAAGGAGAGAGAGCATCAAGAACACAAAGCTAGAGTCCCCGACCCTCTCCCTGCTTGGCCGGCGCCCGGCTGTCAGGCGTAAGCCTCTTAATATATATACACGTCAACACACGTTGTAACGCACCGCAGTGTGTCTCCAACTGCTGCAGTGGGTGAGTCTAGGCGCACATTGCAATCGGAGGCGTCGAGGGGGCTACTCTCAGATAGATTAGTCGCATCGGTTTGCACTAAATGTTGCCGTTACTTGCGTCGAAAGGTCTTCGGGAAGTCGCATCGGTTTCATGATTCCATGCTGTTTTGAGAACATGCGACATGCAAATGATCTAGCTATTCCCTTGTTTTACGATGATTTCACATGGGCACCTTTCTTTCAATGCTACTGGGGCCTCGCTTTAAGTCGTATCAACTGGAGGAAAGTCGTATTAAAATGGTGTGCCCTTGGGGATTGGCTTATCTATGGATGTTTGTTGTTGTTCTATTTGTTCTACGAACTGATGCTAATGTGCTGTGCCCATGCGTTGCTCGCTTTTGTGATAGATTCAACAACCTTGTTGCATCATTGCATCGTGTTTTTTCAACAGACAGCGTGAGCTATTAGGGTTCTTACTTCAAGGAGCTGCATGTGTGCGTTTTCGAGCGTGGGTGCTGGTGCCGCACACATATAATTTAAAGGAATGTATTTATATACTGTATGTATACACGGGTGTCTCTGTGTGTGGACGGAAAACCGTCGAAATTCAAACATGAAGCTCTCTCACGTCCGTTCTCAACCTAGATTACAGCTGCACACAGCTGCTCAACCTCGCCATGGTCTACCCCACCATGAATTACAATGCTTTTGGATGTTTCTGGCACGTACAATGCAACTGCAAACTGGGCATCTAGCTTTGGACGCTGCTGGTTCAACCTTCTGGCCGCGTACAGCATCTCGAAAACAACTCAAAATCAAAACAACGGCTTTCAGCATGCCAATCGGACTGTCACCCTGGCTGGCTTTAATCTCTAAGCCGAAATCCCTTTGGGAGTGATTCTCGGTGAAACAAAAATATCTACTGAATCTACTGTGCACGTATTACCGTAAAGCGCTCAACTTCACATTATTCTAGCAACTAGTATCTGCCAATGACCCAGTTGAGGCTCAATGACTGAACGTCAGAGGTGTCGGAGGCATCCACACTCAATGTCTTGAGTTTTGACTCTTTGACCTCTTGACTATCCTGGTTGGTCTAGTCCAGTCTAGTCAAGAAGTGCGTGCGACTCAGCGTGGGTTGTTGATGCGGGCAGCGTGAACACAGCTCGCAAACGTGCCCCAAGCTGTGCTTTGGCTTTGGGCCTCAGTATTTTTGCATTGGTGTGGCACTCAGGCTGTAGCAGCCGTGCAAACGGATGCGCCTTTAGATTGATCGCATCAACAATGGAACAACCGCGGCAACGTGGATTACCCCAGCTGGCAATGCCTTGATTCAAGCCTCCTGTTCTGTCACAAAGCTGACAGACTCCTTTGACTCCTTCGAGGCCTCCTTCTTTCTCCGCAATTGCTCGACATCCCCCTTCCACCTTGAAGAGCTCCTCCACTGGCATCAGCGGCCCTGGTGCTTTCACCGTTTTTTGGGGCTTTAGTGGCTTTTGGAACGATGCCGCCACCTGTGTTGTGAGAGCTTCAATCCTATCCTTGGTGGCTACAGGCCTTGATGGAGCATGAACTTCTTCCTCACTGGACGAGTCATCGAACTTTCGTGGGATCACTCCACTCAACTTTTGGGTTTCTGACATTGCTTTTACTACCATGGCAGCCTTTCCCAGGTTCTTTGCGGCTTCTCTAATGCTACTCAATGTCTTCTGCTTGTTGACCGACTGCGTTGCTTCTTTCATCCGCCTGCTTGGCTTCAACCTGGGAGCCATGGTCTGCTGTTTGGATCGTCGTCTAGTGGCCTTTCGATTCCCTGGGCCTGGCAATGGTTGAAGCACGGCAGCTGTGGCCGTCTCCAAATCATCAACTCTTGGCTCCCAGAATAAGGCCAAGCCATCCAAGCCTGAGGAGCCAAGCCATCGCATGCTTTGCAAAGAGGCGGCCCCTCCCGTCAGCGACCCTTGGCTCTCACACATGAGGGTCGAAATTCGCCGAAGAAAGCTGATTAGCCACGAGACCTTGAAATATGAGGAGCTACTCTGCTGCAATGTGCTACCATAGAATCCCAAATATAGGAAGCATATCCTGCAAAGTGCCTCAGCAAAAGCATTCGGACCGAACACCGTCTCACATTCAAGCAGCTCAGACTCTTCCGCAGCTGATGTGGTTGAAGCTGCTCCTGAAAGTACTGAATCTCTGGTTCGCTCAGCTCGTTCACTTTCCTCCCGTACGTCTGACAAATTAGAGGGTGCAGGAGAAACACTGTGCATTGAACTAGGTGCCGACGCAGAATGTGCAGAATTTGCGGAATGGGTTTTGCTTCTATGCCTCTTGGGGTCTCTCACAGTTTGTTTTCTGGCTCGAGGTGGCTCTCTGACGAGTCTTGCCGGCAAAATGTCAAAGCACTCGACAACTTCATATGCCTTTCGAAGCTGCTGTTCGGTGATGAATTGCGGAGTCAGCTGGAAGTCCACACAAAACTGCCAAAGGTCAGTATACTGCATATGGCCACTCGGTGCGTAGCAGTCAAACAAGGTCCGGAATACATGGTGGAAGGCTGAAACCACATGAAGGACTTCCGGTTCGATGAGCATTGCAGATATGAGTCGCTCCCTTCTAGCTAAGTCCTTTTCAGGTTGGCTCCTCCACTCTTCACGTGCTTCGCTACGATCCAGGTCTCGCTTCACTTCGTCACCGTAGATTTTCAATTTTTTGGCAAATTCCTTCAGTTGCTTCAAGAACTCCTCCCTGCTGCTTGTGTCAAAACGTTGGCGAAGGATGACATCCACCACCGAAATGAGCCGGAAGCGGTTGACCTCAGTCGCAGTGAGTACTGTGTAAGTTGGACTGCACTTCTTCCCCAGTTGTAAAACCAAACCCCTCCGCTCGATGTCTAGTGATGACATGAAGGGTGAGCCTTCAGTGACTTGCAAATGTAATCAAATGTATACTGTGTATATATATATATATTAATATATTTACTATATTTGGGTACTCTAAGTGTGGACCTGCGACAGAAGTGCACCGGGCATGCCGGCAACTATTTCCTTTGTAGAAAGTAGCGGGGCCACCCTTTGAACTGCTCTACCCCTCATCATGCTGCTCTTCAGTAAATGCCATTGGAACTATGTTTACACTGACAGGGTCCCATTCAAAGGGTCAAGCTTGGGCCAAAAGAAGGGCGAAGTCAAGAACCTGCCAGGGCGATTGATAGGAATTGAACAGGTGGAGGCCCACAAAACGGGACCCTGCTCAGGCCATTCCATTGTATTCCAATGCTGGCAAAGTGACAATCGGCTGGAGCGGGGCTGTGGCCGAATGGTTGGCGTGGGTGCACAGTCGCATTGGTTGGGCCACACTGTCGAATAGACTGACTGCCCAAAAGTAAGGGACCCCTTCACCAATCAAGTCCATATCAAAAAGGAAGCGACAAAAAGTTGGCCGGTCCATGCCCGATGTGCCAATGGTCAAGTTTGATCCGCGTGTGGAAACACACCAGCGTTGCAAACACTTGGAGATCACCAACACTTCAGCTTGCGGAAACAGCCAAAACATTTGTTGTCCCTCAATAAACTTCTTGTCGGTAAGGAAGGCATTTTGTCGCTCCATGGATTGTTTTTCAGCAACTTCCTCTTCTTCAAGAAGGTCAGCTGGCATCAAGTCTTTAATGTCTATCTCCTTGGGGACAAGGCTCTCGAATGAAGGTATCTCCGCAAACAGCAGGTTGAGCCTACGCTGGTCAACGTCTGCTGTGCGCAATCGCTCTTCATTTCTCACCTTCCGCAACAGGGCATCCGCTTTTTCGCGCGTCATCCGCAAGTCTTTGGCTAGTGCCTCTGAAGCTGCCAAGAATGCCTTTGAACTTCCAAGCATGCCGTTCCCATCCTCATCTTCACCCTCACCCTCTGTCAGGAAGTCTGAAGGGTCTTCGGACTCAAGGGCATGGAGGTCACCTGTCGATCCAAAAGTGCTTGCAACATCATGGTTTTGCTTGGCTGCGAAGCTGATACTCAGTCGTTTGAAATTTGGCCCTCCATGCGCATCAAAGAAGTCGCTGAGCCGCAAATCTGCAAGCTTTTTCTTCAATGTTTGATTCCTGGCTAGATCGCCCTGAAGGAGCGAAGACGCAGGTGCACCCCATTCATTTCTAATCTTCAACGCAGGACAGCTCATTGCGGTAGACGTGCTGATGCTTAGCATTTCATCATGCGTCTCTGATTCAGATATGAAGCATGATGTCGCTTCATCTGCTGTGTCAGCACACCGACCGCCGATTGCCAAGGGCTCCAAGAATCTGACGGGCTTGGTCACTTTGGACTGGTCACGGGGGCGACTCTGCGAGGTGTCAGGAGGCTGTGGTGGCTGTGTGGAGCGCACACCGGGAAGCACCATCAAAGGTTCACGAGAATTCAGACCTTTTGCTGCCTCTTTGTGGTCTCTCACCATCTTCCTTATTGGCGCCTGTCCTCTCCACTGCTATGGAGGACTAGAAGCCATTGCCGCGAAGACATGCTCGCTATCAGCAAACATGTGGAAAAGACTTGAAATAGGCAATAGGCACCAAACAGTCCTTTGTTTATATGAAATCCATGCTATGTAGAATGTAGAATGTAGAATCTAGAAGGTGAGGCCATCACGCTCCGTTCAAACATGCTGTTAAACGACAACGGGTCTTGTTCTACCAAATTCTGATTTGCACTGCATCGAGCCATCTCACCTCCAAGCAGGGATGTCATGTCCAGACATGTCGGGGCGCAGCCAAAACTAAAACACGCAACACCAACGCAATGCATGAAGAAAAGGAGACAGCGTGTTTAAAGTGGCCTTCATCATCTGAGCCGTGTTTTCAAGACATGCCAGCTTGACGATGGTGCGCTCTTCGTCCACTGGCTGCAAAAGCTCGAGGAAGATCTGTACAACGCTGAGGCAGGTTGCAAGCTGCATGTGATGCAACACAAGGACCCAAGAAGTGCGTATATATAGTGAAAGGATGTAACAAGTCGTGACAGCGACATGTTAGTAACCTGGTCCCACACCGAATCTTCACGCACCAACACGTACACAAAAAGCAGACTTGCCAACTCCAAGCCCACAAACCAACTGCACTTCTTTGGACAGTGGTTCCCTTGCTAGCTTGCGCCACCGGCACCAAAGTCACAAAAGCACCCTTCGCGTCCCAGGGAACCAAATGAGTCAAGCACTTGGATAAGAGGTCTGGGAAACTCTTGTTTGAAACTTGAAATGCGTTGAGATTGCCCTCACTTCCAGTGGTCAGAGTTGCAACCATAAACCCTTTTCCCAGAGAGCCTGATTATCTGAACCACTGTCAAACAGTCCACACACAAAATTCGGAAGTGCATTTACCCAAGCAATCCTAAGCAGTGGTCTCGGTTTGACATGCAGCAAGTCTGTTTCGCGCAAACTGGGGGCGGTTTGTGCATATTTATACCTATCCCAGCGCAGCTCTCGATGACATTGAACCGGGGACGGGAGGTGACGAGATGAGTGAATCGGCTTTTCCCCCACCAGGAAACAAACAGAGAAACTGCGCGCATAATCTGTCCTTTGTAACGAAAGAAGGGGCACGCAGCACCATTGGATCCCCCTTGGAATTACCGGTAGGTCTGGGGAGCGCGATTTTATAGCCATAAATCGCCTGCCCCAACATCCAGCAAGCAATCTCTCCACTATAAAATGAAGACTCGACATGACTCAGTAAATCTCTATAAAATCAAGTCTCAACATCTAAGGCGCCCGAAAGCAGAAGGAAGACGTAAAATATGATCTAGGTTTGAGGTAGTTTTAACTTTATTTTGCCCAGGTCGGGAATTGATTTTATAGTGGGTTGTTTGGGTTCAACTGGGCTGAGACGTGAATTTATAGGGATTTGGTTTGCAAAATCTGACAGCATCAGCGATGAGCAGGTTTTTTCCCCTGTGCGTTCGTCTGATTGTTCTGATGTCCAAAGCAATCCGCTTGATTGTCGTCAAAAAACCAACATATTCTGCACGCAACTGACTTCCAACATCTGCCACAATAAAATGAAGTCTCAGCTTTCTTGTCCACAACTCTCTTCATATAAGATCAAGAACCAACTTCTAATCATTGTAAGGCTTGGTCTGCTATACAATGGGGGGGGGCTCATACCACCTCACTCCTATAAAAATCTAATGTCAAAACATCCAGACCTCTATCTATGTGCGGCCCACATGATTCTGGCCACAAGCTACCAGGTCGACACATCATTTTATAGCAAGCCCTCCCTATAAAATGACATGGGGTTTTGGTACTCGAGTACGTCCATTTTATAGGCTTTATTCCATCGGGGATACCATTGGCACATATTGGCACGTCACAAACATCGCTGCAAGCATGTTGTTGCCAATTCTTGCACAGCATTTCCTGGATAAAATCGTGTTTTGGAAGAAGCCACCCCGAACTTCTAACGCCTCGCCGATGGCCATGATTTCCATGTGCCTGCCTAAGCTCTTACTGTGAATCTACTGAGTTGCTAGCCGCAAGAATCTAAGCTTTGGAGCCTATGGAGTTTTTTAAAACGGTGCCGTTGGTGCTTCGGGCTTGAGGGATCTTCAGGGTGCGGCTTTGGGCAACTTGCCATCGCAAGGTGCTAGTCCTGGCGGACTTCAGAAAGCTTGATAAGTTGTTGGGTAAAACCAGCATCCTTGGCACGAGCGTCTCTGGGATGTTGATCCAAACCCCTGAGCTGGGCACCTTCAAAGCCGCTGCTGACGTTCCAAACGGATGCTTCCATTTATATATGTTTGATATATGATGGATTATGATGGTATGATAGTTTTTTGTTGCATTATGCCTGATGCATGCATTCCTCTTCTTGATGTTCGTCTTCTCAGTTCAGAGGCAGGAAGTCTCACAACCTTACGAAATATGTTCCACTCTTGGATCTTGGTGAGCCACCTCCTTCCCAGCTCCACAACCACCATACACAATGCCACCAACTCCAGAAGCATTAGGCGCTCCGAACCTGACAGCAAGATCTGGAACTACTCCCACAAACTACTCCGTAACATCCGGCGCTCGTTCTAGGCACGGCCTGCAGTCAGGGTCCCCGTCTCAGGCTCCAGCATAACATAGCCATCGTGGGTGGGGTCCAACAACTCATCCTTGCCATCCAACTTGCTGGTTGTAAAAAGTGATGCAAAAGAAACATCGAAAGCTATTGATGCGAAGTTGCAGCATGGTTCAGTTGTGGTCAAGCATGCCCAGGCCCAAACGGTATCGTCAGCTTCAATGAGGGCATGCACATTGACGTCAGCATTGCTCCCCAATTCCGGCCTCAGGCTTGGCCTCCACCTAGTAGCTTCTTGCTCCTAGTAGTAATGGCCTCCAACCTAATAGCGATGGCCTCCACCTAGTAGCTTCTTGCTCCTAGAAGTAAGCCAGAATTGTGTTGGAGACAGGAGGCATTGTAGCATACAACGCTAAGCTGCCCAAGCTCCAAACGATGACGCATTCAGGCAATAACGAAGGTCACAATTTCGCACACTCTCCCGGTAGTTGATGAGATTGCAAAAATCTCAGCAGAAAGTGCAAGCTGAGGCCGTGCAACTTGTACCTTGGACTTGCTTTACATCTTGGATTTGATACAAGGCCCTGGCAATTCTCACGGCACGCCTCACCAAGGCAAACTTCTTGAACCGAATCCAAAATAAGGCTTCAAAGTTTTCCGTTGAGGATTTAGGCTCCCTCCAAAATGCACCTTAACTCGCATGAAAGGCTGCAATTGATTTGGTGCAACTTGCAACTCCTCCTACCCTAGAGAGTAGGTCCACCTAAGACTGTAGAACATGCTAAAACAGGTTTTCCATCTCTTCCATGTTGCGCTTTAAAAGCATCTTCCTTGCCAACTCTCCATGGAGTGCTTAAAGAGTATTAACACGTATATAGACAATATCAATTAATTACTATCCTGTTCCCTGCAAAAGCCTGCTTGCAAGCATCCACACTTTCACGTCCTCAAAAGGAAACAAACGCGTGACAAGCACCTAGTTTCCAAAGAAGCCAACTCCTGTCCTACATCCCCTTGTGGGCCCACTCTTTCACAGTCGACACCTGCTTGCGGTGCACAATCATTGACCTCCCTGCTCTTGATGTTCCTCAATTGCTATCCTGCATCTATCAAACCATTGTTTGTTAATTTTTGTTAGCGCTTTTGTGCCTTCAAACCTTTTGATGGAACCATTGAACCATACAACAGCAGGCATTGCACGCCTTCCGCAGACATGCCACGACCAATCTCGGTGAAGTAGCTCCTCGAGGAGTTCTAGAAGCCAATGCGGGTGAACCCAAGCGAAGTCTTCTCAGAGAGTGGGTGTTGGCATGGCACTGTCTGTGGAACAGCCACACCAAATACCGGGAACGTCAACATTCTCCAAATCCCCGGAAATCTACTGTAGGATCAGACCGACGCGATACATGCGGCGCCTCGCTTCAAGTCCAGGACTCACCAAGACCAAAATGAAAAGAAACTGACACGAGTTTAACATATAGGTCAGAACCCAGCCACTCCCCCCAGTGGCATTTCAAACACAATGCCCACATGAAAAACTGGAGCACCTGACGGACTACAGCAGCAACAACAACAACAGCAGCAGCAACAACAACAAGAAGAAAGCAACAACAAAAACGGCAACAGCAGCAGCAACCATTCTGTCTTTTGATCAAATGGAAGCAGCAAAATGCAGAAGAAGTGCGATGGGGCTACAAACAGTCAATTTGGCAACTTCCTGCCACTCCGTGCCGTGTGAGATGGCCTGAAGTGGGGTGAAGTGACACTCAACACTTTAGGCGTGAGTGGTGTGAAGTGGCTGCATTGGAAACGGTTGCGTTGCTTTGACACCAGAGTGGCGTTGAGTGGCACGTGCCGGTTTTCACTGGAAACAACTATATATATTATATGTGTTTTACTATTCTTGTGGGCCACGGCAGGGTCGCTGGGAGAGCTGAGACTGATTTCAGATTTCTCTCAGCATACCGGCCACCGGCCAGCTAGCCGACCAATGCACCAAGATAAACTTTTGAGTGGAAAGCAGTGATACTAGGTGGCATCTCGGGGTCATGACAAACTCCACCTCCATTCCGGTCATAGAACCCACATCTCACGCACTGCCAACAGGACTTTCAAACATGTTGAGGTCAATCCCGATGTTCTCAACCATCAGTGCCACTTCATGTCAGTTGGTGTCGCTCTACTGCACTTCGTACCACTCCGGCATGAAGTGGCCTAGAGTGGCGAAATCATGGCGAACTTCCAACCCCTAGCGAGCTAATAAACATCATTCAAACTCATGTGGGACCTCCAGCGTGCGTGCAACATGGTCAGAAGTCTGAACGTAGTGGGTGCTGAAACCACCACGCAAAGCCGGACAAACAGCGCAGCATGTTTTCCAGCGCAAGCTAAGGTAAAAAGCTAGGCTCTGTGCGCACCTGATCCGTAAGGGATGGCGAGCATTCATGACATGCGCTCATGAACTGGTGGTCGAAACTTCACACTCCCAATACTCTGTTGGCATGAATGCTTAT